TATATAATGATAATATACAGTTTCTCACAGTACCTGGTCTCACTGAGAGGGATATGGGCCAAGTTAATCAAACAAGCAAATCCTCCTCTATTCTCAGAGTATCTGTTCTTGTGCCCTCAGTGCTCATTAGAGTGAGATTCTACAAAGCTCTGAAACAGTGGATAAAACAAGCCAGAGTTCAGGCAAAGCGTTTCAAAAAGCTCCCTGTCTGCTTTCTCTGTCTGACTTCTCCTTGCATCTTACACAAGAAAAGAGACAAAAAGACCTTGAACATTGCAGAAAATCTCTTGTACTGTGCAGTACAATGACTTCTTCCCCTGGTGTCAAAGACCAACAACCTTCCAGAGGTAGTGGGGAACAGAAATATCCACCTGGCATTATCAAATATTCCATAAGTGAGTTCAGTGTCAGGAAAGTTTATGATCACAACAAATAAATGGTGAATTCTGAAGAGAGTTCACAAAAGGACAGGGTTGGACCTTACTCATGCAAACATCTCATTTCCAACCTTAACAATTCTATGAAATGACAGTCAAAACTACATGTATACAACATTTGTATTTGTATGATAAATGCCATGAGAGCAATGAGTAGGTTACAACTGATTTTTTGAAATTAGTCATATTTTAATAAATTTGCACACAAATCCTTCACAACTGTGTTAGAAGAGAAAATCAACCTACTAAATTGTAGTGAAACTTTCGCTGAATTCCCTACATCAGATTCTATTAAAAAAGGGGCAAGTTACAATTTGCAGTATTCTGTGTTAAAACACCAAATTATTTTGTAGTATGTCCTTTGCATGCCTCCATTTGGTTTGTACTTGTACAGTACCATGACAAGATCTCTGAAGGACTACCAAAATATAAAGAAACGTATTTGATTATAAAATGGTGACTTAGGGACTATAACAACCTATTATGTACACAACTACTTAAGGTCATGAGAGAAGAAGCACAGCTCATAGTTTATTGTTGATTCACGTCTTTCCACAGACTCTAAACAAAAATATGTGCTTGGAGACATTGAATTGTGTCTTTCTAAATCTGTCCTAAAACTCACAAGACTGGAGCACTATCATTGGTTGCATTTTTACTAGAAAATAAGATGTTTGATCCTGAGGGCAACCACCCTGCTGCCAGTGTGGTAAAATTCCAAGGAAAGCCTCTGCCATGGTTTTGGCCACTGCGTAACTGAGTATACACAGTTCCTGCCTACATTACAGGTGTCATTATGTCATTATGGAACATAGTCTGTTTCCAATGAGCAGACTGTATAAGTCTACCCTGCTTTGAAAACAAATGGGAATAAATAGTACAAGTGCGGGCTGTACCCTTCCATTTAGCTTCCATGCTAAAGAATAGACCTGGGCACATTTAATATGCTGACATAGCCAGTACATACGGCTATGATGAAACACAAATTCAGGGACTTGTTTTGGAGAAGTCATTTCTGTCATTTGATGGAAAATCAAGCTAGTCACAGAAATCCCATACATGTGTTATGTATTTGCCTGAAGGTCTCATTGGAACAAGTATTTTGAACAGAATATTCTAAATTGGCATGGTATTCACACCTGACCATCGCATTCAAGCAAACATAATGTTTACTGAGTAAGGGGGAAATGTTCAAATGTTGCTGATTTCTTTTTTTTTCAGTGCAAATTAATAATGTGTATGTATTTTTGTCATGAAGAAAAACAGAGATAGTAAAAATAGCTCACAAGTGAGAGAGCTGCTATTCACTCCCCTGTTCCTGGAACCATGACAGCCATTATATAACCAAAAAGAAAATTGCATGAAATAAACAACATAAGTTAATTGGGTTGATATCAAGTAAAAATATAATTAGTCAAAGCATTTTGTGGCAAAAAGCACCATCAATATGTGGCAGCTCCTCAGCCTCACTGGTGAACAGGGATCTGGCCATGTGTTTAAAACTTATTCCTCAAGCATTTCCATGGAAACACATAGATGCAGAGTCCTTGGATCACTTATTTCAGGAGCTATGGGTTCACTCTAAAGTGAGAGCTCAGCCCAAGTGAGTTTTGGGCAATAATTCTGATCTAGATATCTCCCCATACTGGTATTTTTGGGGTCTTATAATATGGGCATTTGGACGAGGAAGAGTGTAAATTTTTTTCTCTTGCATAAGAGAAAAAAATACAAAATCTGCCTAATTTTTTCTTCTCTGAGACTGCCTGGGAGTTGAGAAATGACAGCACTGGAAACAGCCTGAAGAGTTGACAAAACGGCCAAATACCTCCAGGGAGATTACAATGTCTGCAAGTGTTAGTGAGGTGCTATACTGAAAAAGACTTAGATTAAATGCAGCCATCGGATCTGCTTGTTAAAAGCTGCCTTTTTCCACATCCACGCAGGAACCAGCTCTGGTGCCGCCTCCCAAGGCTGAGGAAAATTCTCACACGTTAAACCACTTACAGTGACAGAGCCAGCCCACCACCATGTGCTGGGAGCACAGCAGCAGTTTGCTCCTGCTACAAAACCTATAGCTGCTTGAGAAAACATGGCCCTTAGCTCTGCTTGTGGCTCAGTACATGCACTGTAAAAGGCAAGTAATGCTGGCTATGATGCACAAGGGCTTCATCAGCACAAAGTGTTTTGAAAGCTCTGTTAAAAATTTGCTGTATGAATAGAACATGCTTCATTCCCAGTGAGTATTTCTGTAAGAAACAAACACAAAGCAGGCTCGATGGGTGCAGTGTACGACAAGTAGCTATCCCTGGATACCTCCCTTCAGACTTCTCCTGATGACGCTAATAAAATTAGTGCCTGTGTCCCTTTCCCATCCTGTTAAGGTTTTTAATAAGCCTCGCACCTTCTGGTAAGAGATGTTCCAGTGAGAAGGCCTGGGGCATGGCTGCCTTTAGCGGCAGATATATTCTGAAATGCAACAGGGAACACCTGCATCCTCTGCATCCTATCTTTGTGCTCTAGCAGGGAAGGGAAAGACTAATATTCACAATGCATTAAATATAATGAAACACATTAAACCAGCATTGCTCGCCTAACATACATTGCATTAAGTTCTTAAAAGCCAGAGCTTTTACAGGCTGTTCATGAGTATCTGAGGGGTCTGTTACTGCAGCAGTGTGATAGTTCCTCTGGACTGAAATATCCTTAGGCACAATGGAGTTAAGCATAAAGCGTGAAGCCCTAACTTCAAATTTTCTGCCTTTTTCTTTAGTCTGTCTCACAAGGTTCCTTTAAGGCCTTTTTCTTGTGTTTATTTTGTCATACATTATATAGCATTAGTGATAATCCAAGTAGGCACACTGTCACCAACTGGGATAAGTTCATCCTGAACTGACTGGTCTGGGACACGATTTTAAGTGCTGCCACTACAATCAGCCTGAATAATGCTCCCAAGACACAGTAGCAAACTAAAAAATTGACACAGGGTGGAGTGTAGTGTTTAAAATATAGAACTGCTTCCATGTTTCCACGCTACTGTCAGCCTTTGAGCCTTACTTTTAACGTGGAAAAGGCTATGGGACTGAACAGAAGCTTGGCTGTCAGTGAAGCAGGACAGGATGTAAGACAACAACTCTACAACCCATTTTTTTCTCTTGGTGTTTCAGTCACTCCTAAAGTCACTTTTTTATAGAGCCCTTTCTCTGCAGAAATGAATCTGCACGTCTTGAAAAATCTACAGATACCGTGAGATTCTACAGTCTGCCATATAATACGCACAGCTGAGAGAGAGAAAGGCCAAAACATTCCTCAAGCCGTACTTACATATTCAGAGCAGTCCCTTCTGCAAGTCCTCTCTCCAGTCTAGGACATCCTCAGCCACTCCTCGATATTGAAAGGGTTTGAGTCTATTGCCCAGGACAGCCAAGTGGAGACCCTAAGCCTGTGCAGTGTCAGAGACATGACTACTGGATCAGATAGGATCTAAAAATGAGAAAATTTGGAGTCAAGAGAAATTCTGATAGAAAGAAGCCTCAGAGTGCAGAAGGCTTTCCAATAAAAAGACAGACTTATTCTAGACCTCTTCAAGGTCCTTGGCTTCCTGGAGGAGGCCACTCTTCTTCTGCTTTCTTGTATGTAAGCTAAACCTCATAAACTAATGAAGCTATTTATTTCAAGAGGCTGGGAAGCAAAAGGGAAAAAAGACAGTTACTGTTGTTTCTGTTTTTTATATTCATATAAGACACTTAAATAGGGAACACTCTGTAGGATGATGTCATTAGAAAGGAACACTTGAATTAAAGGCCACAGGCATAACAAATTCAAATGAAATCATGTTCTGAAGCACTGTATCTTTTACGTTGCTTGGAGAAGGACACACAGTTCCCTGTCTCAGTATCAGCGAGACACCGATTTTCTGTAGAAATGCACTTGAATTGGATTTGGTATATATTACATGAAATTCTGTCTTTCCTTCAACAGGAGTAGGACTGGCTCATTCTGGGGGGAAAAAAAAAAAAAAAAAAAAAAAAAAAAAAAAAAAAAAAAAAAAGTTTGTTTTTTTAAACCTCTGAAACTTCTTTAATACTTTCCCCATAGCAATGCAATTCAAAGAAAAAAATAGTTCAACGATTGCTCATTTTCTCTGCTCATCTTCACGGAAACCCTCAAGCAAACTCATTTCCTCATTTATATCAGCTATCTCCCAGAAGATCTTTCTTGGTGCATAAAAAAATTCATTTATTAAACTGTAAAGGAGGACAGAGGGATAGAAAGATTTATTTGAATACATCTTGCAGAATTTAAATATGGGTGTAGATTGGATGTCCTGATAGATAAGAAAAAAGAGCATTTGCTTTTAAAGTATTTCTAGTTAGTAATAAAATGAGGATGCTTGACATCATTTGACTTCTGCATTATGCATGTAATAGGTGAGCAAATAATGAGGACAATAATTTTATTTATTAATAGTGATATCATTTTGGCAATATGGGAAGAAGTTATGTGTTGACTTTGGGAAATAATAAGAAAAATAATGTCTGCCTTTTTCTTGTTTGTTTGCTTTCAATGGCAGCTAACGTACTGGAAGAAGACTCAATGGAGCAGGACATAGAGAGCCCTGTCACTATTCATCAGCCAAAGTTACCCAAACAAGCTAGAGAGGATCTGCCAAAAAATCTAAACAAAGAATGTGCCAAGAGAAAAATCCAGAGGTATGTTAGGAAAGATGGAAAATGCAACGTCCACCACGGGAATGTCAGAGAGACCTACCGTTACTTGACAGACATCTTCACTACTTTAGTTGATCTGAAGTGGAGGTTCAACTTGTTGATTTTTGTCATGGTTTACACAGTGACCTGGCTCTTCTTTGGAATGATCTGGTGGCTAATTGCCTACATGCGAGGAGATATGGATCATATAGGGGACAGCACGTGGACTCCATGCGTCAGCAACCTCAATGGGTTTGTCTCAGCCTTTTTATTCTCAATCGAGACAGAAACTACCATTGGGTATGGTTACCGGGTCATCACAGACAAGTGTCCCGAGGGAATTGTTCTTCTTTTAATTCAGTCTGTTTTAGGTTCTATCGTCAACGCTTTCATGGTTGGCTGTATGTTTGTGAAAATATCCCAACCCAAGAAGAGGGCAGAAACCTTGGTTTTTTCTACAAATGCAGTTATTTCCATGCGGGACGGAAAGCTATGTCTGATGTTCCGAGTAGGAGACCTTAGGAATTCACACATTGTAGAGGCATCAATACGAGCCAAGTTGATCAAATCCAAACAGACAAAGGAGGGGGAATTTATACCGCTCAACCAGACAGATATCAACGTAGGTTATTACACAGGGGATGATCGTCTCTTTTTGGTTTCACCACTGATCATCAGCCATGAAATTAACCAGCAGAGTCCTTTCTGGGAGATTTCCAAAGCCCAGTTGCCCAAAGAGGAGCTAGAAATTGTTGTAATCCTAGAAGGAATGGTGGAGGCAACAGGTAACATTTCTTATACTTTGTGTAAAGTAAATGCTTTAATATTAGAAAGGAAAATCAGTGGTTTTGCTTCAGTTTAAAGGAATAATTTCAATAGTTGATACATTTGCAAAAGGCATCAGTTATCTGGTTAGCTTCAAAATTAAAAGCGTGCCCAGTTTAATTGTCTGTTCCATCTTGCCTAATGAAATTAGTGTTGTTTCTGCTCTGTTTGGAAAATGGGAGAGTTTTTCTCATTTTCTAAATTTTTTACAGCATGTCACACAGTTATTTGTCATTCTATTGCAGGAGCCACTCAACTACTAGTATCCTGTGGGATAAAATGTTTTAGAAAAAAAAATATCAATTCAAAACTCTGTTTATGATTAATATGGAAGTACCATAGTTCCTGCTGCTTCCAATCACCCATGGGTAGCTGCAAAATAACTGCTTGCCACATTAAACTCCAAGCCTGTTTGGATCCAGTAAGAAATGATGATGTGCTTAGTTTTCTCTTTTTTACTTCACTGTTTACCTGCTTTTGTTTTAACTTGTAATTTGGAGCTTGTTTCACTTTAGTTCATAAAAATCTATCAGATTTTGTATTTCACTTATCTCTCCTACACACTGCAAAAGTGTACAGAACACTTAATGCAAGTATATATAAATAAGGCACGTTTTGTCACCAAAATCTTGTAGAGAGGTTGTTTGGTCATTAACTATAATTATACAGCAGAACATCAATAGCAGTCTATACAGAGAAAATGCCGCTTGGAATTCACAGTAAATGGACTAGCAGTGTTTCTTCTTTGCATTAAAACTAGAATAGTAGGAGGTTGTTTTGTCTAAAAATGATGCACCTATTTCAGTCAGAGTGCTGGTATACTTGGCTTAGGAGAGATGTTTTTCCTGCTAATGACAGCATCAAATTCTGAACTGAATAAACATAAACAATACAAGGAAATGATGATCAGAAAATGAAGAAAGGATGTGCTCAGGTAGAAGAAAATAGCAAGCAGAGAAATAGAACAACCAGATTTTCCATTTTCCCTACTACTGTAAAAGCTAGAAGAGTTTGAGGATGCAGATTACACTTCTCTGACACAAGTACAACCTTTCTAACCCTGACTCATGTTTTGCAACTGGAGCCAGGAAATAAAGAGCAATCTCTTACCAGAACATGTGTGTGTGTTTCACACATCTATTATGTGGTGTCAGAAAAAAAATTGCATTTGTCACCATGTAATAAATGTGTGAGACAAAAATGAAGAAAAATATAATTCAAGGGAACTTGGCAGAGAGTCTGAAGAGGTAAATGCACGGCTTCCACATTTTCCAGAAAGTTGATGGCAACGAAGAGGAATCAAGGAAATGAAATGTTTAGTGTTTCTGATACGTGCAGTGAGTATAGAGGTTTCAAACATCTCTGTCACCTTTGGATGAGAAGATGAAGAAATTGCTGTTTGTTAGCTGAAAACATTCTGAAATTTCTGAACTGCAGCTAGATGAACTTGACATCCGAAAGAACAGTGGGTTGTTTTGGTGTTGTTGGTTTTTTTTTCAGATGTATTGAATACTATGTTTTCAAGGGAAAAAAAAAAAAAGGGGGGGGGGGGGGGGAGGAAAAAGATTGGCAAGTAGTAGTAACATTTGAGGGTTACTCAGAAAGTAACACCTCCCATTTTATTACGATGCTCCACAAAACCACAGGTGGATGCAGGTGGAATGGCAGCAGAGACTGAATTTTCCGATCAATATCCCATTAAATTTTGTAGCCATGTGATTGACAAAATGACATCTGACATAGAAATTCATATGAAGCAAAGGCATGCCATTTAATTCCTCCATGTGGGAAAAATGGCACCCACTGACATTCACTGACACTTTCTGAACACTTCCACGCAGTGGAAATGAGTACAGTGAGGAGTGGTGCAGGGTGGTGCATTTCACCAATGGCGACAAAGGGTCACGTCCAGCACAGATTTTTCAAGTGTGACATGCAGGCTCTTGTTTATCGCTGGCAAAAACACATAGCTAGTGGTGATGGCTGTGTTGAAAAATAGTGATTCGTAGCTGAGAACATGCTCTACCAAGTAGGGCAATTGTGCTCCTTGTAACAGCTGTTGTTTCCATGGAAATAGTTAGGAGGCATTACTTTCAGAGCAATCTATGTAAATAGCATCTCACTGAAAAAATGTAAAAGATCAGCACACAGTATACTTTATATGTATACTTCTGCAGTACATCAAATGTAGCTTTGTTGTCTTAAGCCTTCAAGCTTTTCACTATTTAACCTTCCAATCCCTACTTCTTCTTGATCTTAGTACACTTACACAGCCTTCTGTTCTCTCCTTTGCTGCTCTATTGATATATTGATCCTATCTTCTACTCAGTCATTATCATCTTCCACCAGAGAGGGTGTTTGGGCTGACAAGGTAATGTTAAAATTCTAGAATAATTCTGGAATAAGTTCATAGTTAATAGAAAGACTGGATGTAACTATTTGCAAACCTGCTGAAGCTGCCCAGGATAAAGGTGTAACCCTGCCACATTTTCAGCTGCTCCATTTCATTCTGTTGCGGCCATCTCTTTAGCATGCAGCTGTATGAGATATGAGGGGAGGGCATCATATAATATCACTTAACTGCATCATCAGGAATAGTAATGTCATAATTACTAGTACAGTTTCTGTTTGTGTGGTAGTCCACATGCACTGGATTACTTCTGCTGAAGATGCAACCAAACCAACATTCTACCATCACTAGACAATTTCCTTTTTTTTTTTCTCAACAGATTTTTTTTTAATTTACGTTCTTGCAAATATTGAAAGAAAATTTAGGCCATCATATATTCACTTTTCCTTCTTACATAAAATGTAGAGTGAGAGCAGCAAGAGAAGCTGCTCACTGCAGAAATCTCCAGCACACTACTGTTCATACCTTCCAGTACTGCTCGAAGACATAGGATAGAAAAATACTGGCAATGAAGCTAAGAAACTGTGTCCTTAGCTATAGCAGCATCATCACTGAGTATCACTTTGCATGCATCAAACACAGATGGACAGCATTATCTTCTGTGCATCAGAAAAAGTCACTCCAAATTCTGACCACATGAGAAAAATCCTTTCTAAATTTTCAGAGCTTCTCTACTCTTACATTTATCCTTTTAATGAGAGGTAATATGGTACAAACTGCTAAATATGAACATTTGCTATTATTTTTATCAATTATTGCTATTATTCTGTTTAAAGTTTTATTGAGAAAATATCACCTTATATAATAGTTTCCACCCTATGGGATTCAAGAGCTCAGCTACTTCTAGTATGAAATATAACTGCTTATGTAGCATCATGTAAACTTTGCACTGTGTTAAGAATAGGAATGAAGAATAACACATCTTTTGAAAGGAAATGAAAATTTTTAATCGAATCAAAATTTAGGAGAAACATCAAATCAAGGACACTCAAATTCCCCTTGGAAGCATCACCATACTTTCTGAGATACAGAATGGAGTAGATATGTCTGCCAAGGCAGATATTGAAATGTCAGCCAAGAAAATATCACTACACCTTTACTATTGACATTAATTCTACCATAAGGGTTATTTTGAGGGCAGAAGATTCATAAAGGCACTTCCAACAAAATACAATGTCAAGCTGACTTCTTCATATTATATCAGCAAGAACTGAAAATAACACTGGTTTTATAAACGTTATTGATCCTTTCAATATGCAGTTTTCCTTATTTCTTTACTCAACAATCGTTCTGTGTTCAAAGGACAGAGGACTCTCACAAAGGTTCACTCCTATGGCCTTTCTAATACCAGCACACGTCTCTCAAGCACCCAAAAAAGAAATGGTGTTTCTGAACTTGTTCTGTAGTGCTCACAGCAGATATGTTACTGCAACACCTACCACTAGGGTTGGTGACTCAGCTGAAGATGCAGTATCTCACACTTCTCATTTTGGTGGACCATGCTGCCACTCCTCAAGGTGAAGTGAGATCAGCTTTGCACAGCCCTACCCTGTGAAGTACATCAGGCCATTATGAAGCAAATGACGATCCTTCAGGATGGGGGGGGCAAAAGTCCAACCAAACATCACCCTATCTAAAGGACATATCCATTACTTCCAGCTTTTACAGCCACTGTTCTGCTTCCCATTTTGCTAAAGGCAGGTGAGAGTGCAAGGAAGATGCAAGAATCAATAAAACTCAGCAATAACAAAAATAACCTCCATCTTTAGTACTTTTGCATCTTTTAGTGTCAGAATACAGCAGCGGCATTGAAACTACAGGATTCCAGCATCCCTTCCCTCCCTATGGGAGAGCTGCAACACTATATGCAAATCTACTAACGGAAAAGAACAAGACCAATGCACCAATCTCAGTCCCTCAGCATTTGAAATCTGCCATTGAAAATACTTGGTTTATATTAAAGTGCCATCGCTTTTTTTTTTTTTTTTCCTGGAGATCAATTAAGATATTTGTTAGACTATGCAGTTTTATTGCAGTGGAATTTGAGTAAATAATTTTGTCCTTTGGTCTATGAAAAACAGAACACAGAGGCTCACAGATCCTGAACACTGTCTCCCTTAAACAGTATGCACAAAAGTTTGGATCTGAATAATTTATATATTTCTCTCAAATTAAAAAAAAAAAAAAAAAAAAAAACAAGGGACCTGGCCTAGTGGGAGGTGTCCCTACCTATTGCATGGGAGTTGGAACTACATGATCTTCAAGGTTCCTTCTAACATAAATGGTCCAATGATTCTGTGATTCTATGAAATCTACAATTAACATATTTTATGTCAAGTTAACAGCCACTTTCCTACAATAGACTTGACAATTTTAACCCTTTTTCTCCAAGTGAAGTCTGTTTTTGATGTGGAGGTGAAGTGGGAAAGTGAAATATATGAGATGAGAGAGAAACCAGGTGGGGACAGAAAAATTCAGAGGAATTTTCAAAAAAGGAGAGAGAGAAAGGGGAGTGTCCCAAACAGCCCATAGCTTTGATGTTAATGTGGT